CGAAATCTTTTATAGAAATGTGTTTCTATGAAAGTTTTAGTTTAGTAATATAATGCTCTTTTCTTTCTTCTAAACTTGTATTTAGCTAGCAACTTGTCCTGGCTTCGCTCGGGTGCGTCCTTAAGTACGCGGATTTTGTTCGCATTTTCATAGGTTTTATTTTTTTATGCGGAATCGGAAAATAATCCTTTTTCTTAAATAAAAGTAGCCTAAGTTATTCCTTATAACATCAGCTATCTACTAGTGAAAGTCTCATCAATATCAGTACAGCTATTTGGCAGATTAGCCGGAACAAACAGACAGACAGACGGACATACAGACAGACAAAAAGTTTTAAAATTATTTTTTATTATATTGTAAGTACCTACCGTATACACTTTGTAGTAATAAGCTATTATTTTGACATTATAAACAGACATTCAATTTTATTTATCAGTATAGATTATAACACAAATCTGTATACAAAGAGTGCTCATTTAGACAATAAGCTATTTTAACCAATAAAGGGGACTATTGATATTATATTTATAACTAGAAATTTTATTGCGGTCATGACTGCAGTTTGGAGCATGTTCGCAAAATGCTAAATACAGAGTTACGGTCATTGCGCGCGCCAGCGGAATCGAAATAACAGGCCGTTAATTGAAACTGGCGCCGATTGCACTGTTATATGCAATCAAACTACTTCAATGAGATGATGCATTACTTTAAGATGTTTAACGTATTAACATTATTTTATTACGCTGCACGTCTCTACCGCGTCTACCTTGTGATGCGATATACACGTGTAACAGCATAATGTTCGTATTAAGCGTGGAATAGAAATGTAGGTTATCATAATATTATTTGCTGTACTTTTTTATTTATCTATATATTATTATCGATACAGAGGCTGAATCTATAGTATTAGAATTTTTGTTTGTCTGTCTGTCTGTTACGGCATCACAGAAAAACCACTGGAGGGATTTTGATGAAATTTGGAATGGTGATAGCTGGTTATCCGGGTCAACATATAGGATACTCCTAACCGCAGGAAAATATCTCATTTCTGAGAAAAAATACAAAAACTGCAATGTAATGGTATACTAATATGTAAAACCTAAGAATTTGGTTTTTGGTCATCTGAACGCGGGCGGAGCCGCGGGCAATGCTAGTAAATAATTAGTTCGAAAAAACATTCGACTTACACTGTCACAAATACCTACATTTAAAGTTTTAGCATATTTTACGAAAACCAAAAATCCATAAGAGAAATCGACGCAGTCTTTCATTAACGAAAACAATGCATTTTCCGCATGCTTTAGTAAATGGAAAAACACCACGCTCTTTCTTATTGCTGGTATTTATCGAAAAATACAAGGTCGTTGAATCGGTAAATACATCATTTTAAGAGGTAAGCATGTTTTCAAATGTAATACATATTCTATTCTCATGTAGGTGCTTTTCAACGCTCAATTTACCTCAACCTTTTAAAATGACATGTGAGTATCAATCTTCCTTTTGCATTTGTTATGAAGGTTGGAAACGTTATATCTTCTAAAAATAGAAATCTAATATAATTGAAAGGTTGTTTACGTAGCTTTTTGATCTTATAAATTAAAGTAAAATTCTCTTCAACTACTCTAAAATTTTAAACTTCACACATTAGATAGTTAATTTATTAGTAAACTAGCAGAACCCGCGGCTTCGGTCGCGCTAAAACAACAAAAATAGCTCTAAAAGGGTAGTTTCATACAAACTTTCATCCCCTATTTTACACCTTTATAGGATGAATTTCGAAAAATGCTAAAAGACGTAATTATTTAAATTTATTGAAGAGCATTAATACCAAGTTTCATGTAATTCTGAACATAAATATTTTTTGGGATTCTATTATAATGTGTTTTCCCGTGGGAATTAGATCATCTCCCGCGGTAAAAAGCAGCCTATGTCACTCTCTAACCCTCCAACTATCTCCACACAAAAAATCACGCCAATCCGTCACTCCGTTTCGACGTGAAAGAATGACAGACAAACAAACAAACAAACAAACAAACACACTTTCACATTTATAATGTTAGTATGGATAGACAATTAAAAATAGAATTACTAAAATATAAAGCAGAAGGCAAGAAAGCAATAATTAAATACGACAAACTAATAGTTCTGAATGACTATAATTCCAATAAAAATCAGAAAAATAAACAACAATCAAAGAAACGCAACCTACAGTTTTCTCCAAACCAAAGCGAAACCAGTCATGAAAAACAAGCCTTGAAGAAAAATAAAATCACAGCCTTTATGAGACAAAGAAAAGACTCTGAACACTTTATGAAAAATGAAACTTCTACTTCCAATATTAAGCAACTAGCAGACACCCCTCTCACCAACTCAAAACCCAATACGGCTAGTCACCGCGGGGGAGAAAAATGAAATGTGTGAAAGAGAAATAACATTGGCACATACAACGTAAGAACGTTGGCAAGTCCTGTCAAGCCCATAGAACTTACGAACGCCCTTAAAGATATTAAATATAAAATTATCGGAATATCAGAAGTAAGACGAATGGGAATAGAGGAGGCCTTTACCCTATATAGGGGTTCTCATTTAAATATATAAAAAAATTATAAATACATTTTACAAATAAAAATTAATAATAATAATCAAAATATTGTTAATAATACTCGTAATAATACAATATGCATTAAAAATCTAATTAATTAAATAATATAAAAAAAAATCAATACAAATATTAATACAATTATCACAAAAATTAATACAAATGTTGTTTACTTTGCATGTGAAAAAATGTACATACATATAAAGGTATGAAGATTGTAAAAAGTTGCATGTAAAAAAATGAAAGGCTTATTTATTTATTAATTATGGATTGGTCTTCGTTTGTGATATTATTATACAAGTTTTGTGAGTATAACATCAATAATACGACTACATTTTTCTTTTCATGAATAAAAACTTAAGGACTTTCAAATAATACAAATGCTATTCTACTTGTAGCTCAATCAATTATTAATAAATCGGCAAACATCTTCAGTTATTTTGCAATAAATCTTCCCGTTTTAATTTCAAATCAATTCTCGGACCCGACTTCGATACTAAGGGCTCTCTTTAATTTATTTCTTAAAAGTGCTTATCGTCCATTCCCTCTTATAAAATAGAATTATAAGTACCAAGTAATAAAATATAAGGGTCTTGGGTTATTTTAAATCATTGTGGTATGCTATTCATTAATTTTGTTTATTATAATTTATGTTTCCCAAAAAATATGTTTAGTAGATTCTTATAATTATCTGTATATAATTGCTCCTTTTTGTATATACTCACAATTTTCTTTTTTTTTTAAGTATCAGTGATCTACAGGTCGAAGCCACTCCGCTAAGATCTTTTTTTTTACTAAAGCAACGCAAAACAAGGCAAAAATCTAAGTGTTATAAGTTTGGCACCTGTTTTTTTTGTGGTGTGTGATTCCCTGACCGATGGACTAATTTGGACACAGTTTATTATTTAAAAACTAGTCTATTTCAAATAGCTCTTAGTTTATAGGTAGGTATTTGGTAAAAATCTGTCTAGCCATTAAAAATTTATAAATAAGGACTCCGAAGTAATATAAGGAATTCTATAAATAAAGAAAGGAATATGTTTCAATAATCTTACACTAATAGAACCCGCGGCTTCGCTCGCGCTATAACTACAAAAAAACCTCTTTGGCTTTATGCTGTTAGTAATAATGTATGAAAGTCTGTCCTATTTGTTGACATTTCTGATTACTGCTGATGATGCTGATGATGATATACAGCCTATAGCCTCCCTCAATAAGTGGGCTATCTAATACAAAAGAAAATTCTCAAATCGGATTAGTGGTTCCTGAGATTAGCGTGTTCAAAAAAATAAACAAATTTGCCTCTTTATAATATTAGTATAGGTACATATATACTTTTAAATAAATTTGAATTTTGATAAACTGTGTAAAACTAGTCCTGCAATATTATGACGGCCTTGACTTGATGCAACAAGGATAGTCTTTAAATACGTCTCACAATTCTTTAAAACATTTGATTAATGTTTAATCTAAGCGCATTCAATCGAGTTTGATGTATAGGTAGATAGCGATAGTCAAATTCTCATTAGTATATTTTATAACAAAACTTTTTTCTTTATGAACTGATTGAAAGAAAACAAATACTAAATTTACTACAGTATATGTGAACTTTACTACAAAACATTAGTGAAAACTGCAACTAAATCGGTTTAGTCGTTTCTGAGATTAGCGCGCACAAATGCACAGACAAACAGATAAATCGACAAACACACAAACAGACAAAAAATCTAAATATCATTGTTTTGGGATCTACTCTGTTAATAAAGACCCCAATAATAGTTTTTCTCAAATATATTCCACTAGCAAGTAGAAAAATAAATACAATCTCTCAGGAACCGTATATTTTTCCGGGATAGAAAAACCTCTGTGCCAAATTTCATCCAGATCCGTTTAGCCGTTCTGGCGTGAAAGAGTAACAAACGTCCATACTCACAAACTTTCACATTTATTATAGTAGTAAGAAGTAACGACAGCGATCAGTTACACTTTTATTATATGTATAGATTATTGTTAATAATGATCATAGACGCTTAAAAATTGCATTCGGCGACAATGTGATTTAATAAATTTAAATTATTAATGTTTTATTATGTCAATCAACTTTAAAAAAAAATCACATAAAAATGACAATGATAACAAAATGGGCGAAATATAGATATAGAGTAAAAACATATTTATTCGTAGGTAAAAAATAAAAATCTGGGAGGAAAAGATCTAAAATTTTTAAATAAAAACATTTTCTTAATTTGTATCTGAATTAACTGATTGGTATTGTTTATAAAATGAGTAGAAGGACGTGGGAAGTCTTTATTCTACATATTATACAATATTTTTTTAAATTTTTTTTTTCAGTTTTTCTTATAGGATATTATATATATATATAACACATAATCCCACTCACGTGTGCCATCGAAACGTGTAGCGATGGTATCGAGAAAGGTGTTCTGGGGCGCAAGCAGCCCCTTGCGCACCGGCATCACCCCTCGCCGCGCGCCTCGCGCTCACTGCCCTCCACCTGCAATTATAACATTACTTGAAAGATGGACAAATATTTCAAAAGGCAACTCTGATTGACTGAATTTTTGAATAGACTCTATAGTTTTAATTTAAGTAGTAAGTAGTTTAAGTAGTAGTAATAAATACATCATCTAGATATTGCCTACTATGTTCCTTGTTTTAAAATAAAAAATCAATGTTAAATTCAGTCAATAACTGTTACACGTATCCAAAATATTATATAAATCATATTAAGAATATATTAAAGAAAAAGAAAATAATATATTTTGTAAAACGTAGTGATAACACCAGTTTATTGTTTGGTTTTCAAGCTTTACCATGGAATTTGTCTGATGATTTTTTGTTGAAATGCGGAAAAGAAATGTTCCACTATTGTTATTTTATGAATGCTGAGACGTGTGTGTTTTTCTTTTCAAGTTTCGCACACGTTAAGATTTAGGTCAGAAAATGCTGATATAGAAAATTTTCACCATCTAGATAATGATTTTCTTATTATTAGTTTGTATAGTTTTTTATAATGTTAAGACTCTCCTGTATACTTGTATGATAATAATCAAGTGATATAGGCAGCTAAGCAATAGAAGTTATATATTAAATATTATTAAATATGTTTCATAAAACTTATTATTAAAGGCGTTAGCAGCATCCGCAATTTCATTAAACGTCTCTATAAATTTTCCTCTGTAATTAAATCTCTATTTAAGGTGACTCATAAAGAGAGACGTTAGAATATGCCTGCAGCCTTTCTTACTTCTCGTAAACTTTTAATGTTTCATAAATGCGTTGGTCATAAATATGAATTAATGAGTTTCGAGGTGATGCCCTATTGCTGGTCATATTCTCTCCGCAGCAACGAGTTGGTGGTCTCGTTGGTTGATAGAAAGCAATAAACGCTGCATAAATCTATCAAGTGAGTCAAGTGCCATCGGTAATGATATCAAGCTATCGTAATGTTCCTTTTGTGTTATATTGTTTGATATGCTATAGCATAAAATCTAATACCTTTAAACGAGTATTTCTTGTTTATTTATTTATACCGGCGATCTCGGAAACGGCTCTAACGATTTCGCTGAAATTTGCTATGTCTGGGAAAACGTGTGTTTTCGAGTTTTCATGCGGTTTTCTTTCGCATTATTCCACGCAATATATGGTCGCAAATTTCGCATGAAAGTTAATGTTTTTAAGCCAAATTAAAAAGAAAATTGTACTTTTGGCTAAAAACTTGATTATCATCTAAAAAATACGATATTACAAAAAAGAACTCCGAGCTAAGCTCGGTCGCCCAGGTACTATTATTTATTGTGCGTATATTATAAAATTTTTGTAAATACTTTTACGGCGGATATTTTAAGTAGACCGTAGGTATTGGGGAAATTATATCAAAAGTAAATGGCCAGATTTTAGTTAGGGTTTGCCCTCAGAATACAGAAAAAAACTCTTTCTGTATTCTGAGGGTTTGCCCTAACTAAAATCTGCCTCTACGTAAATTTTAATCAAAAAATTATTTTGAAGTAAATTGTACCCGTCCTTTATGTAGCACCAGCCTATTGGTTTTCTAAAAAAAATGTTAATCTAAAGCGTGGCAATGAACAATTTAAAAAAACATGTGTGTGTACTTATGTACGCACGTAAGAAGTTATTCTTTTTTGGCGTAACAGAACAAAGATAGCTAAAGATTTCATCCCGTGTGTCACAATTCTGTGTTTATAAAAGGAATTATATATTAATAAAATAATTAAATAAAGCATATTAGGCATATTACAATCATATATTTATAGAATATAATTACAGGAAAGAATTTATTATTATACATCATTTACCAGACAATAACAACGGTTACCATGGCAACAAAAAGTTATCAGCTAACTTCAATAAATCGCTTTCAGCTAACGTCATCATCGCTTGCGCTCATCAACTTCAGTCGCTTTTTGGCTGTCGGTGTGCGCGCGCATTGTTGAAATTTTACTCTCATTATTTTTTCTAAACGTCCCAAAAGAAGTATAACTTGAATAAATAAAAATAAATAAAAAACAAAATATTTAATGCGATAAAAAAACAGTAAAAACCAAAACAATCATTCATCTTATCTTAATCTTCTATCTTATGGTAAAGTCTGTTGGTGCTGTTAAGATAGAAATCTCGAACAGCGTTGATTTTCAGTTACACCCAGCTTAAACGCCTATAAAGGGCTTCCTCCAGTTAACAACAAAATAAGACGCGATAAAACATAAGTAAATATCTTAAAATTGTGCGTGTACAAGTGTATGCGAGTTAATGAGAGTAAAGTACTCGTATTATGAATGTACAATGGCTAAATAGATTAGGTATAATGATGTTTAAAATAATATTTTAGAACCACCCTTTTTGCATAGGAATACAAGTTTTGTACAGCAAGTCGTCTTTTTAATAAGGTTCTTTTGTATACTTTCCTAAAATAAATGAATGAATGAATGAATTAATGATTCACTTTATGACATAGTGGACGGATTGGATTATTCCAAATACTTTCCATAACAAACTTAAAATAACCTGAACTCTAAGAAACCATAATGCTGTAGTTTTACCAATAGTAATTCGGGAAGAAGCCAGTTAAAGGCACGGGAGTAGTCAAGTACGATCGTAATACTACTTAGATTAATTATTATCCGAAGCATCAATCAAAGCGTTAGTTATATTTAGAAGTGCTGTCTGTGTGGCGTATCCTTTACGAAATCCATTTATATCATTTTTATCTAGAAAAGTGATCTGGTTTATTAGCACACTTTCTAAGACCCTTAATAAGACCAGTAATATTTGTATATTTTAAAAGTGAATATTTGTATATTTTAATAGTGGGTTAATTTGAATAGTGATCATCGATTTTGTCAAGGTCGTTTATGGGATCGAGAATGTTGTTTTTAAGATTATACTATAATATGTAACATATTATTAGTCGGAATGGGCAAGTAACTTTATACATATTAGGCACAAATTCAGAATTGGGGACTTGGCCCCTAGCGGAGTGGGTGGTATTTCTGGATAAGGGACGTGATAGGGAGTCGAAATGTTAAATAAATTTTTAATACAACAAAAGATTCAAAAGTTATTGAGACTTAAAGTTACAACATTTCCATACATTTTCATATATTTCTTTACCACCATTCGGAGTGGGTGGTATTTTTAGATAGGGGAGGTGACAGAGAGTCAAAATATATTAAAAATATTTGGAGGAAACGTACGACTAAAAAGTTATTGAGACTTAAAGTTATAACATATCTAACACATTTCCATACATTTCTTTACCTAAATAAGTGATTACAACAGATAAACATACCTTTAACGAATAGTACGCATCCTTTTTTATGTACATTACACATTTTCACAACAATTAATGCTTTATTGTATTTAATATTTTAATAATTTCACAACACAAACAAAATGATCTTACATTTTGACAAAAGCAAAACTGACACTTTGTTTTATATTACCGCTTAAATGACAACAGATTATATTTGATTATTTTTGCTTTTTCTGTTGGTAAAATATTACTATTAATAAATAAATAAATAAAAAGAAAAATATTATTTTCACTTTATAAATACATTTATGACTTTTTATTTGATTTATGTAAAATATATTGTTTTACAATTGTACATTTAGTAAAAAAAAACATTTTTTTATCTGTGAATATTTTTAATTATTTATTTATTATTCGTCATATCTGGGTTAGGTTAGGTTAGAACATTTAAGATTATTTATTTATTATTCCTCATATCTGGGTTAGGTTAGGTTAGAACATTTAAGATTATTTATTAATTATTCGTCATATCTTGGTTAGGTTAGGTTAGAACATTTAAGATTATTTATTTATTATTCCTCATATCTGGGTTAGGTTAGGTTAGAACATTTAAGATTATTTATTTATTATTCCTCATATCTGGGTTAGGTTAGGTTAGAACATTTAAGATTATTTATTAATTATTCGTCATATCTTGGTTAGGTTAGGTTAGAACAGTTGCCACAACGCACGAGCCGAGCGAGCGAAGCGAGCGTGCCGCGGTAGCGGCCGGCGAGTGCCATAAATGACTAGAAAACTAGAAAATTCGAATTTCACGCAAAGTACAAATAAAGACAATCATCTGGAGATCATTTTGACAATTGAAAGTGACGTTTTGACTCCAAGTGTCTAAATGGTAGTAATGTCAAAATAATGTATGGAAATGTTATAACTTTAAGTCTCAATAACTTTTGACTCTTTTGTTGTATTAAAAAATTTATTTAACATTTCGACTCCCTATCACGTCTATTATCCAGAAATACCACCCACTCCGCTAGGGGCCAAGTCCCCAATTCTAAACGGCCGCCACATATTAATACAAATATATGTATATATGAGCAGTTTTCGTTAATTTCTCATGGATTATTATCAGTTCATACCAAAAGCGAGCCTTAATCCTGATACACGAGCGTACGTTTCAGATTTGATATATTAAATCTGAAAAATGTCTAAAAATATTTTTCAATCTTTTAAATATTTTTGTCAGTTTTTTATTCTTTTCTAAGCCAAAGCTTACATTTTATTAACAGTCCATCATTCAAATGTGTTAGACTTTCATGATTATATTTGACCTGAAAATAATAATGTAACAAAACGACAGAATCTAAAACTGTAGGTACCTACTAAATAATAGCTTCAATTCATTCAATTCTTTGTTCATTGCTTCTAGCGGAAGTTCAAATAAACTGTTTCACAATGGTATACAATTCTGCCCGATTTAATTGAGTTTTAACGATTGCGACTTTTTATGAAAAGTGTCATTTTCATGTAGATAAATTTTAATATATATTTTAATTAGAACGTATTAGTAAAGTATAGTATACTAGTATAGTAGTAATTAGATCGTATAGGATTCATTCTATGAACATCTGTTAAAAACGCTTTATTAAAGAAAACAATGGATCTAGAAGTCAAATTCTGAAT